GCCAGGTATGCTCGGTATGGCACAGGCATCACCTGCAGCCAACCTGCCTGGAACGATGCCTGGCGCCCACCCTGAGCTGTTCAACGACCCCTCCAAGCTGCTGGCGCAGCAGCAGCAGCAAGCTTTCCAGCAGCAAGCTTCAGGTGCCGACCATTCGGGTGCCGAGGGCGTGCCGCAGTGGCCTACGCAGCCCGGCATGGGCGGTCCTCCGTCCCCGACGAAATCGCAGATCAACGGAGCCGGCCCACAGACACCAACGATGGGGTCGAAGCCCGAGCCGAGGCCATCAAAGAAGAAGCGCAAGAAGACGGACAGCATCGTCCCGACGGCTCTGCCGCCGGCGAGTGGTCTCGACGTAAAGCCACCGATGCCGCACATGGGCGAGACCACCAATGGCGCAGCTGCACCTGTACAACCGCCTGTCACTGCTTCGCCTGCTTCGGCCGGTCCTCCACCGCAGCCCGAGAGGCAGCTAGTGCCCGGCACGTCGCAGCCAATCGGCCCGCCGGCACCGCCGCAGAAGCACAAGATCGAGTACCTACCCATCCGCCGCGACGTGCACACATACGGAGGCTGGGATCTGTCGCTGGTGGAGTCGCAGTACGCACCTGCCATGCAGTCACGAGGCCGACCAAGGACGCTGCGCGAGCTGGGTCTCGTGGATGTGCAGGCGCTCGTCATGAGCCTGCGCTCCCGGCTCGACTTTGAGGTGTCGTATGCGCTCAATGCGCTGCTCATCCTGTCGGCCGGCGTGGGTGCTGCGCCCAACTTCCAATTCGGACTTGCAGCCTGCGAGGACCTGCTGGACGAGCTGCTGGAGGTACTCACCGAGTCTTGTTTCGTCTCGAAAGACGAGGAGATGTCGCAGGGGCTCGGCGCACTCCAAGCTGCAACACGACCTGCGGCCAAGCGCTTGCGCCGCGAAGGTGGCATTGCTTCCATGCCGACCTACCGCGACTGGATCACCGCGGCCGCGGAGGAGGAGGCGGAGCTCCGGATCTGGCGGCGCAGAAAGGTGCCAAGGTCGCGCTCAGCCGCGGGGAGCGTCGCGGGGAGCGGAAGCGAGCGCTCGTTTGCCTCGTCGTCAACAGCGTTCAGCCACGATATGATGGATGGCACCATCTCGACGAATGGCGTCGAGTCGGAGCACGAGCGGTCGACCGAGAAGAGGGCCGCGTGTGCGCTGACGGTGCTGACCATCCTCAAGAACTTCAGCACGATGCCGGAGAATACTGCATTCTTCAACGGCACGCCCGCGCTGCTGCAGACCCTGGTGAAACTGTGCCAGAGCGACACCGAGCGCGTCCGGGCCATGGCTCTCGGCGAGGAAGCGGACCAAGACGATGGCGACACAGCGAGCACCGTGTTCACGACGGCCGAGGCGCTGAGGGTGCGCAAGGAGGTGGTGGTGATTGTGTCAAATCTGGCAGGCGAGGCGCTCTCGCTGCGCCGCCAGAGCGCCGAGACGGTCAAGGCGCTGTTTGAGTTGCTGGCCTCGTTCGTCTTTGACGCGGCTGAGGTGGAGGAGATCGACCATGCTGCCGAGATTGCGGATCTGGCGGCGACGTTGCCTCCTGGTGCGGCGGCGCCACCTGTGATCCGGCGCACTCCTTACCATGCGGACCTGGCGTTGGATGCGCTGTCGAAGCTGGCGCTGCCGGACGACAACCGCGAGGTGATGGGCGAGGTGCTTTCGGGCGAGGACATCGAGCGCGTAGTGGACGAGCTGATCAAGATGCTGCCCATGACCGAGGCCGACTTCAAGGTGCTAAGCACCGAGCATCGACTGGGCTACTGCGAACGCCTCGCCATGTGCCTGTACAATCTGGCATTCCTCGCTCCGCCTCCAGTGAAGCTTCGGCTGCGCAAGAGGCCTGGCTTGGCGGGCATTGTGCTGCGGATCGTCAAGAAGCTCGCACGGGTCACGCCCGAATTTTCGAGAAACCCATTCTCGGTGCTCTGCAGGCGTCTGGTCGAGGCTCTCCGACTGATCTCGGACGGGCAGGACATGTTTGGCGCACCGGCGCTGCTCGGATTCGGGCTGGGCGAAAGCAATGCAGCCAGCTCGTTGGGCAAGAAGCAGATCGGCCTGCTGCTCAACGACGAGGATGGCGTGGTGGATATCCTGGCCACGCACGAACTGGACGGCGTGCTCGCCGAAGAGCTGTATGCGCTCATCGCCACGGGCTAGTGTCGGCGTTTACCGCCACAGCAATCAAAACAGCACGAGCCGTGGAAATGTCTTCAGTAGACGGTGCGCGAGTGTGGACAAGCCAAAGAGGTTAGAAAGCTAGGTGGGGAAGCGCTGGAATTTGAGGCAAAGACAGTGTGCGTGGTTCGAGAAGTGTGAAAGAGTACAAGGGATGCGAGAGAGTCAAGGGGGAGCGGGGCGCAAGGTCTTAGCGGGACGGGAAGAGGACGAGACAGTGCAGGGGCGATGTGGGGCTATTTTGCGCCTATTGCGGCGCCTTGCTGCTGGGCTGGCTGTGCGGTCTTGCCGGTGGCCTCGATGATCTGGAGGACGTACTGCTTTTCGTCGACAAACTGCTCGTCGTCCTTGTCGTTGTGGAAGTCGGCGAGGAACTTGACCAGACGCTCGCGGTTGCGCCGCAGGATGTTTTCGATCTGCGGCGGCTTCTTGGGGTTGGCGACAAATACCTTGAACACGTGGAAGGCCTCAAACTGGATGTTCTTGCTGCGGTCGCGCAGCAGATTCATCATCATCTTGAGGTTGTCCTCGCTCGCAATGTAGCGCGTCATGACGGCAAAGTTGGTGCGGTCCAGCAGGATCTCGCCGAGCAGCTTGAGCGACTGTCGCTTGGTGACGTAGTTGGGCGACTGCAACAGCGTCGTATACGTCGCAAAGAAGCGGTCGTAGTTGGCCTCGAGGTAGGCAGCCACCATGGCCTTGTGGCGCGTGAGCGTCTCCTTGAAGTTGCTAAAGGCATCGCACGAGATGCCAAACGTTGTTGTCTCGATGTAGTCCGGGAAGGTGTAGAAGCGGTCGCTGTACAGCAGGATCTTGGCGAGCGGCTCGTGGCGCAGCATCTCGCGCAGGATCATGCCCGTGTTGAGCGCCACCTCGGCATTCTCGTATCCGCGCAGCGCCGAAAAGATGACATCCGGTCGTGTGGCGAGGTACTCGACAGTGGGACTGCGCGAGCCGATCTGCCTGCGTAGCAGCACGTTGAAGATCTGGCTCACGTCCTTCTTGGCTTCGAACTCAAATTTGGCAATGTGCGCGACGAGCAACTGCAGCACGTCGTGCGAGTAGACCTCCTGCGCCAGCTGCGCGACTTGGTCGGGCTGAGGCTCCGCATCGCCCTCGCCAAAGAGCACCGCCTTGATCTGACAGAGCGTCTTGGACACCTCGTCGACCGCTTTGCGTCTCGCCTCGCTCGAGTTGGAGCCGGACGAGCCGGACGAGGTGATGGAGGAAGACGAGGCGGCCGAGACCGACGAGCCGGATGCGCCGTTGGCACCGGCGTAGTGCGAGTGGAGCGAGTTGGACGAGTTGCTGCCGCCGAGCGGTGTGGATCCCGAAGCGGCGTCGAGACGCAGGATGGTGTCGCGCAGGTGGCGGACGAGCTCCTGCGGCGTGCGCGACTTGGACTTGAAGATAAAGTTCATGGGGGGCATGGATGTACGCGTCGGCAGCCTACCGGATGGCGTGCGCGCGCAGGTGTAGCGTGGGTGACGAGAGATTCAGCAGGTCGCAGGGCGGGTGTCTGGCGAGTCTAGGAGCAACAAGACGCTGAGTTGGGGCCTTCCGGGCGTGGACGAGTTCCGTTGGATGAACGATACAAGCGACTGAGCCTGAATGGTGGATGAGATTGCAGCAGCAAAGGCCGAAAAAGGAGCGCGTCGATGTCGAGTCTGCTTCGTTCCTCTGTAGGATGGCGCCAAGCGGTGGTCGAAGGCGAGCCGTCGTCGGTGTGATCCCGAAGCGAGTGGCGTGGGGATTGTTATCGTTGTCGGATCAGCTTCCGACAATCACACGGTGCAGGATATGGGAGAGGAGATCCAGAGTTTTCGTATGGCGGCTTGCAGAACGGGCGTGACGATGGAAGATCCGAGCTGAGCCAGACAGCAAGAGTGCGTGGGAAGGAGTTGAGGAAGAGCGAGAGGCAAGCTGGAGTTGATGCTGCACTCTCCAGCGGGGTGGAGCCTTGGTGTTGGTTTCGGCTGTCCATCCAGGCGGCTGTTTTGGAGAGGCCCAACTCAACTCCTAAAAGATGCATGCAGGCTCAGGGGAACTGCATCCCATCACGTCTCGCCGCGGGCTCACCCTCCAAAACAGCGCCAAATTACGGATGGCGCGGAATAGGAGCTCGCCTCCCCGGCCAACTGACCTCTCTGCGCAGAGCAGCAGCGGATGCGCGCCGACGCTGAATTTGAGAAAATGCCAGCCTTGAAGCCCCTAGCGCGGCCTTCCCGCCCACAAGATGCTCACTTTGGTGATAACGGCCCTTGTAGACTGTCAGCCCACTCACGATACAGTCGCTGTCACGCAGCTGGTGCAGCAGGGCTAGCGTAAGTGCGCCACGTCGAAATGAAGCTGTTGAGGGCGTCACCTTCTTCTCATCCACTTCTTATTCTGCACAAGGCACTCGAGGTGTGGCGCAGCGAGTGTCTCTGCGGCCGCACCGGGATCGAGCTGGCGAAAGCCCGGGCTTCGCTGGCGGTTGCGGGTTGCCTCGTCTGAAGCGTTCGCCTGACAACACCAACACCGCCTTGGACCTGCCTCATCGAGCGTGTCATTTTTACAATGTTTGATCGTAGTATCGAACATCTGTCTTGATGCGCAAGAATTATAAGGGTCTCCTCCACTTTACTCTTCGCACTTCCGACTCCCGCCCAGTCCTCGAGAATTCTTGCGCAGGGTTTGAGTTCATGCTTGCGCCGCTGCGTCCCCGTCCCGCTTCCCTCCCTCACACGACCTAGCAGGCCCTCCATCATCTCGCTTCCGCGGTGGCGAACCGGCTCATCGTACGCTCACGATGGCCAAGAAGCGAAAGCGCACCAGCGTCGCTTCGTTCGTCCACCACCTCGAGCGTGCCTCCACCTCATCCCCGGCCTCGTCTCACGCCGCCGACGAACAAGCTGCGGCGCTGAACCTGGGCGCCTATCATCCCGAACTCGACCTGGACTCGCTCAGTGCTGCAGACTGTTCCGAGTATGAGGAGCTGCTGCCAAAGTGTCTGGTGCACCCAGCCATGTTTCCGCCAAACATGCTCAAATACTGGCGACACCGCTTCACCTTGCTGTCATCGTACGCAGCGGGATGTCTGCTGGACGAGCAGTCGTGGTATTCTATCACGCCGGAATCGGTGGCATTCCGCATAGCCAAACGCTGTGCGACGGACGGGATCGTTGTTGACCTCTTCGCCGGTGCGGGTGGAAATGCGATCCAATCCGCTTTCACTTGTAACCGCGTCCTTGCCATCGAAATCGACCCGCTCAAGCTCCGACTCGCCCGATGGAATGCGAAGATCTATGGCGTCGAGGACAGGATCACCTTTGTCCAAGGAGACAGCATCGAGCTCCTTGACGTGCTCGTGGCTTCAAAGTCCAACTCAACGGATCCAGAAGACAAGGTATGGAAGGACATCACACACGCAGAGATTGCCGCGGTCCAGGCCGTATTCCTCTCTCCACCATGGGGTGGCGTCCAGTATGCACAGAACCCCACCGCTTCACCTTCGGCTGCACCGTCTACATACTCGCTAAGCTCGATTCAGCCCGTAGATGGTTCCCACCTCTTTGCGCGCGTGCAAGCGGCGTTCAACACCTCGAACATTGCCTACTACCTTCCGCGCAACACGGACCTCGAACAGCTCCACCACCTCGCCCAGCACACCTTGATCCCACCATACAAGCCCAACGTCAAGATCGAGTACCAGTACGTCAACAATGGCACCAAACTCTCCAGTCTCACCGCCTACTATGGCAGCCTCGCCGCCGACTGGAACGACGAGTCCGACGACTGGTATCCCACTGCATCCTAGACCCATTCCGCATGTCTGTATATCAACTCACCATCATACCCAACATCGCTACCACCACGCGGCCAATCTGTAGACCAAAGCACTGCATTCTCTAAACCTCGAAGCGTATCTAGCTTCAAGCCTCGTCGATCCATTTTGCCACGCGGCGCCACGTGTTGGAGCGTTCGGGCTCAAACCACTTGAAGAGCAGGTAGTCGTGCACCGCGTCCTTGACCTCGTCAAAGATCACCACGCGCTCCTCCTTGCCCTCTGGCTCGGGCGGCGGCGATGCTGCAAATCGCTCCTTGCCACCCGCTGCTGGTGATTGCGGCTTGTGCGCGGCGTCGTCGCTGGTCGGTGGCTCAAGGTGCAAGCCATGTAGCTCGTCTAGCGGCGTGTTGGTGATGGCGTCCTGCTCGACATCCAGCATCTCCTTTGGCCTCGGACGATCCCTGCGTTCGGCCATCTCGACCGCATTGCATCCCGCCGACAGCCGGTCGCCCGCATACACCGGTCGGCCCTTCTTGGTGCCTGCTGCGAGCCGGTGCGCCAGCGTCAGATGCTGATCATACGAGATCTCGGCTGATCCGCTCGTGATGTAGATGCGCTTGGGAAAGCCGTGGAATCCGTAGTGCGGTGCACTCCCACCGCGCTCGAGCGGCAGCTGCAGCGAGACGGGCGACATGTACGGATTGCGATACGTCTCGCGCGCGGGAAGATCGCCCAGGAACGCCGAGACCGCCGTGTTGCGGAAGGCGAGCATGCTGCTGATGATGTCCGACTTCTGATTGGTGTAGACCGTCGAGTCGAGGTTGGGTGCGCGCGTCGGTCCCGAGTGCGAACGCGAGATGTCGACCCATGGCGACATGAGCAGCAGCGCACCAGGCATCGACGCCACCTCGCCGCGCTCGTCGCGCAGGTACCGGCACAGCGCCAGTGCCAGGTTGCCGCCCGCACTGTCGCCGGCGATGATGACGTTTTCGGGATCAAAGCCGAGGTCACGCACGAGGTATAGGTAGCCGCTGAGCGCGTCCAGAAGCGCCGCAGGATACGAGCCCGAGCGAGGACGACCGGGCACGCACAGTCGGTAGTCTAGACTGAACGACCGCAGCAGCTTGCCGTCGTACGCCGAAGCGGACGCGCCCGATTGCGACTCGGATCCAGGCGATGCCGAGGCACCGTTGGCTTGCTCCGACGTCTTCTTCTGCTCCGCCTCGCGCTGCTTGTAGATCTCTGCCATGTACCTCAGGCTCTCGGTGTTGACCGCCGCAGTGACGTCCTTTTCGTGCGCGGTTCCGATCCAGTACGCGCCCCCGTGTAAGTGGTAGAGCACCTTCTCGCCGGGCTCGGCCGGCCGACCCACGCCACAGCATAGGTCGCTCTGGGCCGTGCGCTGCGAAGCACCTCCAAGGCTCGCCATGGATTCTTGCATGGGGTCGCTTTGCTCCTGGGCAGCTGTGCCGCCGTCGGGCGTTCCCCCGCCCGACTGATTGGCCGAGCCGTTGCGGCGGCGTTTGCAATGTCGAGCGTGCTCCGGCACATCTCCGTACCAGAAGCCGCACGTGCGTTGCGGGTCCACTTTTTGCGCGAGCATGGCGCGCCTGAGCTCGCCCCTCACGTCGTCGTCTGCCACCGGCTCGACCCAGGTAAATTTGCAGCGCACCGTCTTACTGTGCGGAACCTCCTTCTGCAGATCGCGTCCGAGACTGGTGCGCGTGCGAAAGGTGAGCTGCGTGCCGTGGCGGTAGAGTTTGACCATGGTTGCCTTCTTCCAGCTCCAGTCGCGGCGTCCGCGATGCGAGGGGATCGTGGACGAGAGCGCCCAGCGTGGAAGGTAGTAGAAGCCGACGCTGAGGCCAAAATAGGTGAAGTAGAGATACTTGTACGGCTGACGGGCCCAGATGGGGCATTCCTGATTGAACTCCGACTCGCGCCCGCTTCCCTGGAGCGGGAACTCTTTGATGGGGATCTTGGTGCGAAGCTTCGAGGCCCATGTGGTCGATGAGCGGCGGGGCGGCCCGAACTTGCCAGAGCCGGCTCGGCGAGGAGTGTGAGCCTGGTCGTCGTCGCGTCGTCTGCTTCGGCTGCGCCCCGCACGGGAGGCCGAAGCGGAGCGTGCTGGTGTACTGTGGCCGCGACTGGAAGTACGGCCGTGTTTGACCTTTTCGGAGTTGGCTCGACGAAGGCCTTCCGAGTCGGATGCATGTCCGTCGTTATCGACCTTTGCGGTCGCGTCGGACTGGTCTCGCTCCATTCTACGGCCTCTGCGAAGATGAAAGCTGCTCCTGCGCGACGACGAGCCCTCGGCATGGTCCGACTCGTCGTCCGCAGCGTTTGGCGAGCCGTTGAAGTGGCCAAAGCGAGGCAGTCCGATCAGCTTCGAAGGCTTGGTGGGGGATGCGAGAGAAGGCGGAGGCTCGATGCCGGCCTCCTTCTGAGTACGAAGCAGACCGAGCGTCTGCGCCTCTTCCAAGTCCTCGAGACGCTTCTGCTGATCCCTGATCCTCTGACGAACGACCTCCTCGTCCTCTTCCTGCTCCTCGTGAACATCTGAATGGCCGCCGTTGGTCGATGCTTCCTGCAATGCGCCCTTCTTACGCAGCGACTTGCGCGCCGTCAGGGAAGAGCTACGAGGCAGCTCTTCCTTCCCGGGGCCACGCTGCATGAGTGTCGAGGTAGAGTTGGAAGCGTTGTTGCGGCCGCGCAGGAAGGAGGTGAACGAGCCAGACTTGGTGGGCTTCTTCTGAGTTGCTGCAGGGGGAGGGGAGGGAGTCGAGACGTCTGCGCTTTCTGCAGTGGCGCCGGGTGCGTCGCGGTTGCCGCTCATGTCGCGTTCGACTTCGCTGATGGCATTGGGGATCTCGCTCTTGCTCTTTTGCGCTGTGCTGGGTGTCTGCAGCTTTGACTTGATGGCATCGAAAGTGCGCGCGGGGGCCGTGATTGTGGTCTCGAGCGTTTTGGATGCTGCTTCCGGCAGGCTCTTGAGGAGTGTTGCCGGCGACTGTGCCGAGGATCCGATGGAAGTGCGTGCATTTGGGTCGAATTCGGCCTCGAATCGGCCGTGCTTGTCTAGGCTGCGTTCTCGAGCGGCAGCGGCTGCGGTGTAGGCGACAGTCTCGGACTGTCGGTTGGAGCCTGATGGATGAAGCTGTGCGAACGCCTCTCGAGACGTGCCTGAAGCGATCGGCGGGGCAATGTTTGTGTCGTCCTCGGGCTTTTGATTGTCTAGTCGGCCCGAGCTCGCTGCTCCGTCATGTTTGTCTGCAGCGTGACCCTCGAACAAAGCGTCGCGTGCGGCATCCCTGGACTGGGACGGCGAGACGGCATTGACAGGGTCGGAAGCCGTTTGTTTGATCGAGTGCGTTGCGAGCAGCGGCGCATCACCGCTGCTCTGACTACGAGAGGGGGTGTAGGGACGTGGGTTGTCCATGTTTTAGCTGACCTATGCCGTCATGATCCGAATGTAGTGGTGTTCTTGTCTATGTGGTCTATGATCGGGACGGGCCCGAGGGATGATGGTGTCGCGGAGTGTAGCAGTGATCAGCGCAGCAGTGGCCAAGGAAGCTGCCGAGACGTTGGAGAAGACTAGGTTCACGTGTTGTCTGCAGTGCAAACTCAGGAACGCCGTGCAGCTCAAGCGACGCTCGGCGCTGCCGACGCTTACTACACTTTCGGCTGAGCACCATCACAAGCGCTGTCCCAAACACGCCGAGACGTGTGCGGAGAGTGGGGTGATCTTTTGTCGCAGCCCACTCGACTTCGGCCCGACCGACCTGGCTGGCTCTTCTGGCGTGGGTGGCTGCTTTCTTGGCAGCATCACGCGCATTGTTCGAATAAAAATGCAGGGCTCATCGGCGCATGCTGTCGTCATCTCGCGCCGAGAACTCCGGCGTGCTCAGAAAAATGCCCAACGCGTGGGGTCCCTCAACTCGGACTCTGATCTGCGCGATCCAAGACCCCCGATCTTTCCACTTCATTCTTCCATATGAGATGGGGATTCATTTGTTGATCCTCTCGGGTGTCATCGCCTACACGTGCATTCAGAGTAGTCGTTGGCTAGTGCGAGTGCGAGCGCGAGTTGGTGACGTTCTTGAGCAGCCGCCTCTTGTAGCACAGCTGGTAGGCGCGTGCCTGGAGCACGTGCGCCTCGGTGGTGGGATGCACCTTGTCATCGTCGAAGCGGAACCAGCTGCCGCGCCACTTGGAGAAGTTGGTGTAGTGACCCGTATTCATCGAGCCCTCGTGCACGACGACGGTGAAGAGATCGTACAGATATGCCCTGCCATCGCAATCACAACGTCAGCACCACCACCCTACGACATACACACTGGCACAGGAGGCGGAACGCGACTTACTCTGGATCCGGGTTGGGCGTCAGGCCGCTGTTGGAGCTCGAACGCACATCTACAGGTGCAGGCGGCGCGTTCTCGTCCGGCGCACGGATCTCGGCGGTGCAGAACTGACGCACGTCGAGCACGGGTGGGAAGCGCACCTTGGTATCGATCTTGGCTGCGGCCGATGTATGCTCGAAGCGCTTTTTTCCCATCAACGTCGGCAGATCCGAACACAACAAGTCAGCAGATATCCCCACTCCCGCCGTTTGTTCGGGGGTATGAACGAGCACTTACCTTGAGCTGGATGCAGAGCACGGGCGGCAGGCGGTAGAGGCTGAGCTGTTTGGTGGCCGAGGCGCTGCCGCCGCACGAGGTGCACGAGTAGTCGTTGTTGCCCAGCTTCTCCTCGGAGCAGTAGCGCTGCAGGCAGATGGTGAGATGCTGCTCCTCGTCTGCCTCGCCGCCCGCCGCGCCCGTCGTCTGTAGCTTGCCGTTGAGCAGCTTGGCCTTGTTCGCGCCGCCCGCCGCACCCGTCCAGCCGTCCTTGCGCCGCATCGACTCGGGCCGCACATCCAGACTTAAGTCGAGCATGGGATCGCGCGTCGTGTTGACCTTGCCGCAGCGCTGGCACGTAACGTCCGACTGGAGCTGGCCTGCAAACGTGCGATGCACCACACACGGGCATCCCGCCACGCCTCCTCCGCCACCACCACCCAGCAGCGCCGGCGTGCCGCCGTAGCCCGCCTCGTCCTCCGACTGGTGGCCCGAGCCGCCGTTGCCGTCGTAGTGGTCAAACAGCAGGTTGAGCGCATCCGCGTGCTCGTACGCAAACGTCGGCAGCGACGAGCGCTCCAGCGCACGGCTGGTCAGCGCCGTGTGGATCGAGTTGAGCGCAGAGATGAAGAGCTCGTGCGCATCGTGCTGCCCCGCCTGCCCCAGCTCGCTGCTCGCCTGATCCACCCACAGGCAGTACAGGAACGACGTCGGCCCATGCGGGCCCTTGGCCAAAACGCCGTTGGCACCGTTTTCGGCACCGGCACCACCCGCCGCTGCCGGTCCCGTGGAAGTGGCAGCGGCGAGCCCGCCCGGATCGGACGAGTAGAACTCGGAGAAGATCTTGTCCATCTCGCACGCCAGGCACGTCTTGGCCGCCGTGCAAAGCGCCGTGTTGTGGCGGTCGGCGAGGAAGAAGTTGCGCAGCAGCGGATTGTGCAGGAACGCCTGGATGATGACGTTCATGTAGCACGTGGCGCCCATGTTGCGCAGCCCGCGCGGCACGCGGCAGCTCACCCCCGCCGCGTCCGTCTCGTAGAATCTCGCCAGCGCCGAGCTTGCGTCTGCAGCGCCATTCGGTGCGAAGAGCGCCTCGATCGTGCTCTTGGGCGGGCCGTACTGCTGACCCACTCCGTTCGGCTGCACGCGCGCCGTCTCGAGCCGCTGGATGGCCTCGAGCAGCGGATCGTGCACAAAGTCCTTGCACTCGCCGCAGTACACATGGCCGTACAGCAGGTCGAACGCGAATGTGTGCTTTGCCGAGCGCAGATGCTGCACCATGTGGCTGTCGGCGAGCGTGCGCGTCACTGCGGTCGGATCATCGTCGATGGGCGGCGAGAAGCACGCGGTGTGGGCGCATTCGAGGCAGATAAACGGCCGCAGCACCTCGGTGTGGCAGCCGCCACACTGCGGGTGGTCGAGCTTGCGGCGTTTGCGCATCGGTTTGCCCTGCTTGGCCGCCGCGGCCGCGCGCTCGTTCCACGCCGCCTGCTCCGCCTCCTTCTCCTCGTCGTCCATCATGCGCACGCTGCCCGCACGGATGCGCGCGCCCCACCGCAGCCCGGCAACGTACCGCTTCACGTACGTCCGTGTCGCCGCGGGCAGCGTGTCGAAGCTCGTCGTGCGCGCATCGTCCGCGTCTTCCGGCTTGATCTTGGTCGCCGAGGCTGCTGGCTTGGATGCAGTGGGGAGTTGCAGCAGCGCGCTCAGGTGCGAGCAGCCGGGCGGAATCTGACGCACGGTGCCGGATGACGCGGAGGGTTTGGAGAAAGAAGGAGTGCCTGCTCGCGACGCCGCAGCTGACGACGGTTTCGTCGGCGACACAGAGCCACCGTTACTGCGCTGAGACGATCCCCATGCGCCACCGAGCTTGGTCGGCGACGAGCTGGTCGACGAAGGCATGTCGGCGTAGCTTCCTGGCGGTCTTTCTAGGCGGTGCCGAGTGGGTTCGCGCAAGACTGGCGAAAAAATGCGGCGGTCACCCTCGTCGGTCACAGGCGCAGATGTTGGCGCGGTCGAATGGCGATGGGCGATCACAGAGTCTAGGGACGAAGGTGCCAGTCTTCGGACGGTCGATGTCGTGGAGGTGTTGGATCGAGGGAGCGCAGCTTCTTCGCGCCCGCCGACTCCACTTGCAGCCGAGCGCACAGATAGCGGCCGGGTTGCGAGCTCGCGTGCGGCTGGTTCGTACACGCCTGTGCACGCCCGCGCTGGAAATTCCCTTCCGCAGCCGGACCCTGGGCACCGTTTTTCGAAGCTCACCCCTCCGCCTTCTCACCAAGCACAAGTCATAGCTTCATACTTGCGCACACCAACGCACATCCACCCACGCTTTAGCTTATACGAATCTAGATTTCATTGGCGAGCATGATACGTGGGCAATTTCACAAGTCGACATCAGAGTTCCTCGTGCCGCGGAGGCTGCTCGTCCTTCTTGTCGCCCGCTTCGGATTTGGCGTCCTTGGCATCCTTGGCGTCCTTCTTGTCGGCCTCGGCGGCGGCAGCGGGCTTCTTCTTCTGCGGGCGCGTCTTTGCGATGCGCCTCTTCTTGATCTTTGCGATGGTCTCCGAGAACTTTTTCCTCCTTGCATCCACATCCGTGCTCAGCAGCGCCGGATCGTCGTTGGCGCCCTTCTTGTCCTGCAGCGCCTTGCCCTTGGCGAACCACTCGGCGTCCTTGTCGAGCGTGGCGCTGAGCGTGTCGAGCTCCGCGACGCTGTACTTGCTCGCCTCGTTCCTCTCGAGCGCCGCAGTCAGGTTCGCGCGCGCTTCCGCAACGAATTCGCGCGCCTCGGAGAGCGACGTCTCAAACGCAGCAAATGCGGCAGTGCGCAGCTTGCCCTGCTCCACGCGCGTCTCGAGCGGCTTGATGAGCGACTCGAGCGAGGCGCGCTTGAGCTTGAGCGTCGCAGTGTCCGCCGTCTCGCCCGCGTCCGAGAGCCATGCAGACAGCTCGTCGGTCTTGGAGGCGATCGCCTTGCGCTCTGCATCCTTGGCGACCGCGGCAAAGGTGGAGTCCTCGACCAGATCGCGCACACGGTAGAGGTACGACTCGATCGCGTTGCGCGCCTCCTCGCGCTGCGCCTTGCGCGTCGCCGCCTGCCCCATCGTCCACAACTTGTCCTTGCTGCGCTTGATCTCGTCGCCCGACATGGGGCGCACGGCGTCGTTCTGCGGAATGGTGCGTGCCGTCAGCTTGACGATCTTGTCCTTGGCCGGCACGGACGACAGCGTCTCGTCGTCCTCGTCGGCACCCTCCTCCTTACCGGCCTCGTCGCTCGAAGTGGTGTTGGTGGCGGTAGAGTTGGTGGTGGTGGCGTTGCTCGCCTTCTTGGGCGTCGCTACGCCGAAGAACGACTTGAGCGCACCGGCGATGCCGCCAGCCTTGGGCTTGACGACCATCACAACGTTCTCCACCGAGTACGTGCCCAGCGGACGGCTGACGACGGTCAGGTTGAGCTGCGTGTCCACCTGGTCCAGCTGTCCGCTCGCCTTGAGCTCCTTGAGGCTCTCCTCGATGCCGCTGATTTCGACCATGGAGATGGCGCGGTCGGTGCCGACACCCAGCGCCTTCTGCGCGGCGGCATCGTACTCGAGCTCAAAGACAAAGTCGTCCTTGACGTTGGAGTACTGACGCACCACATGCTCGGTCTCGTACGACGCTGCGGGGAAGATGATCTCCTCGTGTCCGTCGGCGTCCTTGAGATTGACGGCGTACGGCACGAGGTCGTAGGCGCGGATCTCCTTCATGCGGAACTGCGGGTTGAAGCTGGCGCCGTAGAAGGCGGCGCCCATGACGGCCGCCTCGTCGGCGTTGACGTTCTGCGCGAGCTTCGAGTCGGGGATTCCTGCCTCGCGCAGGGCGTTCTGCACCAGCGGCACACGCGTGCTGCCGCCGACAAGCACGATCGAGTTGAGCTCGTCGAGCTTGATGCCCGCGGCAGCAAGTGCCTGCTGGATGGGCGTGGTGAATTTGGGCAAGAGACCCGCCTTGGCGACGGCATCTTCAAAGTCCTGGCGCTGGATCATGGTGCGGAAGTCGATCTCGTCGACCAAGCTCTCGACGCTGCTGGAGGCGGCGTCGTTGGCGCTGAGGATGTGCTTGACGCGGTTGGCCTCCTTGAGCAGGCGTGCCATGGCGCGGAGGTTGGTCTTGATCGAGCCGCCGATCTGCGCGGCGTGCTTGGCGTCAAAGTCGGCGACGAGCTTGTCGCGCAGAATGAGGTCGAGCTGGAGACCGCCGACGTTGCGCTCCCATCCGACGCCCTTGACGTCGACGATGGTCGCCTCCTTCTTGCCGGCAGAGAGGATGGAATCGATGACGACGGGCTTGGTGCTGAACTCGACCACGGTGGCGCGCACCGAGCCGGAACCGACGTCGAAGAAGAGGTGCTTCTCGGGCTGCGCAAACGTACGCGTCTGTGCATAATTGACCGCCGCCGCTGCGCCGTCCGAGACGAGACGCGGGCGGAAGCCAGCGAGCACGGCGGCGTCCACGATGGCCTGGCGCTCCTGCGCGGTGAAGAAAGCGGGCACGGTGACGACGGCATCCAGACCGCCAAACGAGCCGATGTTGAAGCCGGCGGGCAGCGACGGGTTGACGCGCTCGCCCGCCGTCTCCTCGGCGAGCTTCTTGGCGTATTCGAGCTGCATGCCCACAAGCTCCTCGACGGAGAGCACGGGAAGGTTGGAAAGCTTGGGGTCAGCCTCGAACGGTCTCTTGAGCGAGCACGTTCCGCGGTCGGAGCTGACGACGTCGTTGCCAAAGATCGAGGCGTAGAGGTCGACGTAAGGCTTGTCGTCGTCTGCGGTTGTGCGGCCGAGGAGGGTCTTGAGGCCGTAGAAGGACTGCTTGGGTTCTCGCGTAGCATGATTGTACGCATTGGTGCCGAAGAGGATCTCCTCTTCCAGGCCCCACTTTTTAAACGAGACGGCGGACTGGATCTTGCGCTTCGAGTCTCGGTCCAGCACCACATCGAACGGCAGACCGGGCTTGACCAGCGAGACCTTCATCCATTCGGTACCGTAGTCGAAGGCGACGACGCCCATGGCGCGCGCAGGGGTCGAGAGCAGCGCGAGCGCCAACAGCGCAACCACGCCGAGCATGCTCAGCGCGCGCGGGAAGAGACCGCGATTCGACGATACTCGCATCTTGCCGGCTGTGCGTTCCAGAGCTCCAAACTCTGACTAGACGCGATGTGACGACCTGTAGGGAGAGTGTTGAGGGTTGTTGATGGTGGTGGTAGTAGCCGGAAAGCGAGGGCTGACTTTAACGTGTGGAATGCGCTAGGTGTTGCTCTCGCGACCAGCAGCTGCAACGCTGGAAGAAATGCGTGGAACATGCTCACCACCCGTTAGGCACTCGCCGAGTGCTACGTGTCCATCTCGAGCCGGGGTGACGTGCAACCTGCGGCCTTCCAGCTTGGCAGCCTGGAGAAATTCAAGAATGTTCGAACGTGGCTCTAACACCCTTCAACTTTTGCGACCGACTGCTCCCAGAACGCTTAGCTCGGCAACGAACGTCCCAAGCACAGACAGTGGCGGCGCTAACAATTGCAAGCAAGGACGCATACGTTCAAAGGCGACGCGGGGAGGTATATGTAACACAGAGAATCCTAACGGTGGGGGAAAAGAGGTGCGGGCGAGGCGGGACGAGATGGATCTGCAACAAGGCGAGGGGTCATACTGTAGGGCTGGACAGGACGTTGAGAGTGTTCTGGACGTGCGCGGCGCGACGAACCGCGACGCTAGCAGTTGCAAGCCTCCTTGCGGTTGCCCTGCTGGTTGTTCTGAAGGTCGACGCCGCTGGCCTGGTTGCCGCTCGCCTGGCGCGAGCCATTGCCGCCGGCCGCGGCAGCAGCGGCGTTGCGGGCGAGATGAAGGTCGATGGGAATCTTCTTTGCGATCTCGGTGAATACCTCGACGACGCCCTCGCCGGTCTTGGCCGAGGTCTCGAAGAAGAGCAGGCCGGACTCCTTGGCGTACGCCTCGGCCTCGTCCTTGGGCACGGCACGGAGCGAGTCGCCAGCGTCCGGGGTGGCAGTGGCGGTCTCGTCGTCGTCGTCGTTGTCGTCGGCGTTGGCACTTGCGCTGCTGGACGACTCGTTGAGCAGGTCGATCTTGTTGCCGACGAGCGCGATGACAATGTTGGGATTCGCCTGGCGCTGGAGCTCCTTGACCCACGACTTTGCCTTTTCGAACGAGCTCGCCTTGGTCACGTCGTAAATGACGGCGCTGGCCTGTGCGTTGCGGTAGTACATGGGTGCGAGCGAGTGGAAGCGCTCCTGACCCGCGGTGTCCCAGATCTCAAACTTGATCAGGCGGTCTTCGAGACGGCATTTTTGCTGCGAATGCCGAGGATCGGAGTGATGGAAGCAGTCTAGGTGTCAGCATGCTTTGGCAGTAGGGAGGCGTAGGCATGGCGGAGGAAGACACTTACAGTGAGGAAGGCGGCGCCGATGGTGGGCTCCTTGTTCTCCTGGAAGTCGTTCTGGACGAATCGGAGCACGACGGACGACTTGCCGACAGCGGCTTCGCCTGCAGCATCGGCAGGGCAAGCCGATCGGATCATGCATGCAGTGTGTTTGGCAGAAGGAGAAGTCAGCAGGGCGATTCGGGTCGGATCGTTCTGGGCGCTCGGGAGCTGAGAGCAATGCGTACCGAGAAGGACGAGCTTCGTCTGGAATGGCTTCTGCGGTGCGGCAGCGGCGGCGGCAGCACCAGCGTCACCAGCGGCCGCAGGGGCCGAAGAGGCAGGCTGAGCAGACATGGCTATGGCTGCTTATCGGCTGTGTGGTTGTATAGGTCGAGAGCAAGGTTGCTGACGAGTCGATGGCAGCGCACTGCGCAGATGCACTTTTTTGGGTCGTCGACGAGATGCGGCTGCTGAGTCGATACGGTCCTGACGGTGGCGAGCTGGATGTCCCAGACAGCAGCGATTCGCAGATTGCTTCGTGGGCGAAGGGTTGGTGGTGAAATGCAGAGGTACGGATGGGGTGAAGAGGGAGATGGATGATGGACGATGAAAGTGGAAATGCCAGAAGCCAGCGCGAGCGGGAGTGTGGCGTGCAGCCTGTGATCTTGCGAGAGAGTCACAGTGTGGAGTGGCGCAGCAGCAGGCGGCAGTGCGAGATTCGAGACAGACACGCTCAGTCTCCAGCCAGCCAGGCACACACTCGCTCGCCTCAGCCCATCCCGCCTTGCTGACCGCGAACTTTGGCCTTGGCTCTCGACACACTGCTCCACAGCCATCGCTCCGCACGGTCAGCACCGCCCACGTTGGGCGCGCGGAATTTCCCGATGGTAGCAACGGTGACCTCACACATCGAACTCTTTTTGCCAAGCAGCTCATCTGCACACCTTCGCCCCTCTCGCATCTTGTAGGAAGCTAGAGTACATTGCAGTGCGAGCATAAAGAAGAAGAGATACAGAGGAAATGCTGGAACAGCAAGTTCTGTGCGGTTCAAGATGGTGGAAGAGGAGCTGAAGGCAGGCAAAGCTAGTCCGAGTCGTCGTTCTTGGCCGTCTTTCTCCTCTTGCCGCCGCGGTTGTCGCCGGCTGCTGCGCTGCCACCATCGGTCTCGACCGGATCAGGCACCTTGGCCACGATGTCCTTGAGGAAGTCGAACGTCTCGTTCGTGTGCACCGTGCGCTTCACATGGTACGGTGTCATCTTCTTGGCACCGCGGCTGCGCGTCTCCTTGACCGTCTCCTCGACAATGCTCGCCATGAACAGCTCCAATGCTTTCGCTGCTCGATTACCGGAAGCAACATAAGTCAGCAAGTATCCCCAAGACGGATGGATGAAAGCAGGCAGGGACTTACAGATGAGCACAGGGGTTGCCTGGGCGACTTTGCCAACATCTTCGTCGGCCTGCATGATCTTCTTGATGCGCGCCACGGGGAATTTGCATTGTGCGGATCGCTTGACCATCTTGTCGCGCGATCAGTCGTACCGCCCGTGCGATACCGAGGTGCGATGCGGTGGTGTGGACGTGCCGAGTGGTAGCAAAACGCAAGGTCAGGGTTGGCAGCGGGATGCAACGCGTTGATGGACTCGGGTCCACCCGCGCGCCTTTCGGCCGATAAACATCTTTCTGCTCATCCCGCCACTCGCGAACCTCCTCAACACCGCTTTCGCTAGCTCAGAGATATGGTTCATGCCGACACGCTGTGACATTGCGAGTTGCGTGCGGACGGTATCAGTAGTCGGTGTCATCGAACTCGTCGGCGCCGGAGTAGGCGTCACCGCCGGCTGCCCTAGCCTCACGAATTTGAAGTCCCTGTCACGTAGCGATGCAAAGGAATGCGGATCATGTTTAGCCTGTGGCCCCGAATGAAAGCGTCACGAGGTCAGGGCGGCGTACTTACTCTGGTGAGATAGGTGTGGCTCTTCTCGAGCTGTCTATCTCGCTGCTGCAGGAGATCGTGCCACTGCTTGGCCGTCTGCAGCTTGCTCTCCAGCAGCGAGATGGATGCAGCCGACGTGTATGCGTTGCCGCCAAAGGCGTCGAAGCGCACCACCCAATCGGCGCCCACCTGGCTGCCTGCAGAAGCGGCGCTGGACGCTGGGACGAGGTCGGCGTGCACCCATCCTTTGCGCACCTGCAATGAGCCGCAACAAAGATGCACATCAGCCGAATGTTCAAAGCGGAGGTGAAAACGAGGGGTGAGAGACTTACGATATCGACCACATCGGCGTGGACAGTCTGCACCGCATCTGCGCCTCCTAGTTCGAGCATGACGGCGATATCACCGAGTGAGAGTGCGCTATAGACGTCCGCGAGCCGCTGAATGCGGCGCTGTCGGTGCAAGGCTAGACACCGCCTCACAAGTCCAAGATTGCGGTCCTGCCACACATGACAAAGGCCATGATGGTCAGTGTCGGCGGACTCTTCGAATGCATGGTCGGAGGCGCGGGGGAACGTACCTTTTCGAATGCCTCCTTCTTTTCGTCGACGATCTGGTGAAGGTCGGGCGCAGCCTTGGCGTCGTATCGCTCGTATGCCGCTGTGAATGCGAGGTAGGGCTGGGCCAGCGTGCGGTAAGTGCGTGTGACCGGCTGCGGTGTGTACTTGGGCACGGGCGAGGTCTTGCCGTCTGCCAAGAGCTGCACGAGCACGAGCTTTTTGTACGCGTCCATATGGATCGCGCTCACGGCCACTGCCGGACTCGATACGCACTGCACACCAAATGCGAGCAGCAAGGGCAAGGTGTCAGTGAGAGAACAGCTAGGGGCTTGTGGGATGAGCGACTCACGGTCTCGAGAGCGTCGATGGCGTCGTGGAGGCGCTCGAGCTTGATGTAGATGAGTGCAGCGTAGTAGAAGTACTGGAGGACGTCGGAGTGGGTGAGTGGCGTGATGGAGGTGTCGGCATCGATGAGCGGCAGATCCAACAGCATGGTGGCTGCTTCTGCGTAACGCGAGGTCTTGAGGTATTGCTGCGAGGGTGTCAGAGGGGAATCAAAAGGATTGGCGTCAGTCTCTGCGCATAGAGTCTCGCAGCCATGGAAATGCTCACGTATGCCAAGATGGGATGCAGTGCTGTGAGGCTCTCTGAGCGAGTCCAGAACCTGGTGGCAAGGGCCTGCAGCAGCTGGAGCGCCGATTCGGGATTGGTGATGCTGTCGCCCATCTTCGTGAAGGTTTCGGCGAGCTGCGCGACCTTGTCGCCCGCAAGACGGACCTGTTGCGGGTCGAAGCGTTGCACAAAGGCAGAGATGTGCGGCAGCAGGATGGTCGCCTTTTCCGGCGAAGCCGCGTCGTGCGTGGCGCGGGCGGAGAGGAGGTAGAGCATGCCGAGCGAGTGGACGGCGGGGTCGAGCGCCGAGAGTGGATCTACATCGCCCTGGATCGGTGCGCATAGAGCACGTTCCGAGGCTGCGGGCTGCTGGTTGCGGCTGCTGCTGGGTGCGTTGCGTGACGACTCGGCGTCGGCGGATGTGGTGGAGCAAAGCTTTCGGAGTGCCGGGAGCAGCTTCGCCTCGATGCGCGCGAGATCGTTGCCGCACTCGAGGATGAGGGCGAGCGTGTCCTCTATGCCGGTGAGGATGGTGATCGCCATGTTGCGAACGGAGATCGAGATCGACGATGGCAAGCGGGATGGAAGGAGCAGCAAGGAGCAGCATTTCAGGTGTTGCTCTGCTCTGCTTTGGCGACTTGACCTGAGCGCGTGCGAAAGACTCAGCTTTTACTCCACATCTGCCAGACAGACGACGTTTTGCGCCGGTTTGCAGCTCGGTCACAGTGACGGCGTAACATTGGTTTCTTTTTGCGGCGCGCGAGTAAGCGGGAAACGCGAGCCGGGAATGCGAGCATGCTGACATGTGCCATCAAAGCAGCGGTGTGAAGTGCGTGTTGGATTGGGAAATTTTGGAGTGGTGTGCTGTGCTGTGCTGCTGCCGCTCCAAGTCCGGCTTGGCGTGTTCGGAATGGCTGTTGGACAAACTCGACGCTCTCATCCAGTCTCGCCGACACGTTCCTTCTCTACCGTCACCGCGATCCTATTCCGCTCTGCCCAAAAGACACAATGCCCGCCAAGCGCAAGTCTTCCAAAGCTGCGGCTTCCGCCGACCACCTGCACCCGGCCTCGGCAGCAGCAGCAGCATCAGCCGCTTCCCAGTCCAAGCCCACCTCGGGCTCGTCGTCCTCGTCCAGTGTTTCCACCGTCAACGGTGGCAGCAGCAGCAAACCTGCTGGCGCTGGCAAGCCCGCCCGCGCTGCGCGACCGGATCCCTACGCCAACAGCGGCCGCACATGGAACCCGATCAAGCTCATTGAGCGCGCCCTCTTCCGCACCTACTGGAACATCGAGGCGACGTTTGTGCTGTCGATGCTCGAGGCCTGGGAGGTGTTCCTCGTGATCGTCGTCGTGTTTACGCTCACGGCGCTGCTGTGGTACTCGCTCATCCACTACTTCCCGCGCCACGCTCAGCAGGTCGCAACGCGCGCACTCTACTACGTCTACGGCAACTCGCCCCCGCCTCAGCTCGCCGCCGCCGTCACGGCCAACGCCTCCGAGGCTGTTGCCAACACCGCCAACGCAGCAGCAGCACAGCAGGGCGTGCTCGAGAAACTCGTCGCGAGCACAAACCAGCTCTGGGCAAACCTCGATCCCAAAGACGCCGCGCTCGAGTCCAACCCGGAGCTCGTAGACTCGCTCATCGCCAACCTCAACAAACTCAAACACGCCATCGCCAACAAGCCCGATCTTTAACCTCTCTCTCTCTCTCGCGGTCCCACACGCAACACCATGTATTCTAGCACCTAGATGCGCATCCACCTGCTCTCTTCCCTCGCCCCAGCGTGTGCACAGCTGACTCGAGCTCGGTGTCTGCGGAACTTGCGTGTATGCTGGAATTGCGTCGAGACAGCACGATGGGAGTGTATAGATGGGCCGAATTGCATTCAGAATCCCAGGCCGCCGCGCGAGGTCTTGACGGTAGCCGACACCGGGTTGGCCATGCCCTGCGAGCTGCCGATGCCCATGCCCTCGGTCCAGCCCATGGCGGCGAGCAGCTTGTGCCCGATATTATCGGCGCCGATCTTGTCGGCTCCGAATCCGACCTCTTCGCCCTCCCTGTTCTTGGGCACCGTTCCGCCGCCCACGCCGTACATGCCTGCGCCGCCACCGCTCGCACCCTTGCCCTTGCGCTTGTTCTTGTCCCGGAAGTCGCTCTTGCCGGCATCGTTGCCAAACGTCGCGCCGGCGTTCGACCATACGATGCGCTTCACCTTCTTCCAGTCCACGTTGAGTCCCGATCGACTCGTCTTGATGAGCGTGGGGAATCGGTCGCGACCCTTGCCCTTGCTCTTGGACTGCAGATTGTACGCGTTCGCCAGCGCGTGCACCTCGGCACGCGCAAACTTGTCCATCGGCTGACACCGCATCGTGTTGCGGCCTCTTTGTTGGAGGAAGAGCTGGATCTGCTGGTTGAGCTCGTCCATGTTGAATGCAAATCGCTCCTCGAGCCCCAGCGACGACATCTCGGAAGACTTGCCGCCAAACGTGAACAGCGACGCATCCACCGCATCCACCGACCCCGCCGCCTGGATCGCCGCCACCACGTTGTTCGAGTGCGCCTTGAGGCTCGCTCGCATCTCGCGCTTCTCGGCCTTGCGCGCCAGCTTGGCCATCTTCTTGGTCGACTTGGTCTTGCCGCTGCCCGCCTTGCCGTGCGTGTTGGGGAACGGATTGAGCGCCGCCGCCTGCCGCTCCGCAAGACGCTGCTGCTTCTTGCTCGCCTTGCTCGCGCGGTCCTTGTCCCACTGCTGCTGCAGCTGCTCCGCCCACAAGTCGTCGTCGGTGAACTTGCGCCCCTTGCGCTTGCCGTTGCGAGCGGTCGGGATCGAGCCCAGGCCATACGCGGGGTCATCCGAGTCAATCTCGTTCTCGGCGGCCGCGAGATCCGCGAGGTCAGAGAAGTCGCCGTTGGAAATGGCGTGGAACAGCTTCTTCTGGGCTCGCTTCGACGAGGGCGCCGCTCCGCCACGGCTGCCGATACCGGCGCCACCGACTTGCGACGAGAGCGCACGGATAAAGTCTTCGTCCTCATCCGCCCACGACTGCTTGCCGCGGAACATGCCTTCATCATCGTCGTCCGAGTCGGAGTCGTCGTCATCATCGTCATCGTCGTCGTCGTCGTCGTCGTCGTCGCTGCTTTCTGACGACGATTCGGAGAAGATCTCGCTGCTCTCGTCGTCGTTGTCGTCTTCGAGGATCTGGCGGAGCTGCTCTGCCATGTCCTCGTCCTCGTCATCGTTGTCGGAGGCCGTGGCGCGTTGTACCTCCTTCTTCGGCTCGGCTTCGATGGAGACGGCAGCCTCGGTGTGTTGCGCCTGGTGGTCCTGATCGCCATCGCTGTCGTCTTCGCTTTCGGTGAGCCACTCCTTGACCTCGTCCATGTGGATCTCGTCTTCAATGTCGCCAAAGCCAAGCTGGCGTCCGCCCTTCTGCGGGTCCATACCGTTCATGAAGCGGATCATAGCATCCAGATTGGTCTTCTCATCGAGCTTGTTCGACAGACGACGTGCTTTGGCCTTGCTCTTGCCCTTGCCGGCGGCTCCGTCTGGGAGCTCGCCGTCGACGGTCTCGACCACCATGTCGTCGGTTGCGAAGACGTCCTGATCCGAGTCGGGATCGCCTTGAGCTTGGTCGAGCAGATTCTGCATGTAGTCGGCGACGATGGCGTCCTGGTCGGCTTTGCGACTGCGGGCAGCGCTGCGGGACGCGGTGGCGCGGCCAGCCTGCGAACGCTTGGCACGCTGTCCGCCACGGCGCTTGGACTGCTTGCTGAACTGCGCGTCGTCGTCATCGTCCGACTCCCACTCGTGGCGATCGGCTCGAATGGCCTTGGCTAGGATGGGGTCGGTGATGCCGTTGGTGTCGTTGGTGCGCGTGATCGAGATGCCAGCTGCGGCAGCGGCAAGGCCCTCTTCGTCGGCGGTGTCGTTGTCGGATGCACCAGGCGGGCCGTCGCTGCCCCAGTCGAGGTCCGAATCGCCCTCGCGTGGGACGCGGTGCGGCTTGCCGCGCCTGTTGACGGCCTTCTTGCGCGAACGGCTGGTCTTGGCGCCATCAGCTGCGGCCCGGTCGCCAAGAGCGACTCGGAATGACGAAGAGGATGTGGCACTGACGTGCTCGCTGTTGGAAGCGAGCGAGGCGGGATCCTCGCCCTCGAGATCAATCACGAAGCCGAGGTCTTCTTGCATGGCGGGCTGCTCGACGGCCTCAACTGCGACGGTAGACTCGACCGCCTCAACCGCCTTTGCCTCGACGATCACGTCAAGGGTAGGAGCAGTGTCGAATGACGGTTGAGCACTGTTGGGCACCAAGATGATCTCTTCGTCGTCGGAAGAGGAAGAGGAGATCGCGGTGCGAGACGGGAGTTGCGCCGCCGATGGCGATACTCTTTGTGCGGTAGCATCGTGGGGCTGAAAGGCGGGGAGCGTCCAGGATGCAGTTGGGTCATCCTCGAGCATTGATTCGCCCGGAGCGAGCTCTTTAGATCCTGGGAATGCGGCAAGCAGCGCATCGACCTCGTCGTGGTCTTGGGCGTTGTTGGCAGCGAGAGAGTCAAAGTCAAATGCATCCAATGTCGGCGGTGGAAAGGCGGGGACAGGAGCACGCGCAGGAGCGTATGGAGCTGCAGATGGTTGCGAGGTTGACGCAGGCGCCGGCGCCGGCGCCTTGGGAGCCTCGGCGCCGGGAGGTTTCTGGGAGCGGTTGGAGAATCCGAGGCCGGCGTGACGCTCGCCTGGATTTGTTGCGGGCTGCTGTTGCTGCATGCTATTGGGGTCCGAAAGTGCTTCGTTCGGATCGCGGGGAGGTAAGTTGCCTTTGAGCGGATCGCCAAACTCGCCTGTGGCCTTGACAAAGGCGACGGGAACGCGGAAGTTGCTCTGAGCCTTGTCAGCGGGGTCGCCGAAGCGCGGGCGGTCGCGCTGCTTGCGATCGGGTCTGCGAAGACCTGGGATGCCAGCAAGATACTTTGCATCTTCTGTCTCCTCTGGTGGACGGAACTTGGCACCACCGTGGGCGCCTCGGCTGGTGTAGAACTCGGGGAAGTTGGTGGGTGCGTTGGAGCGTGGTGTGAATCGTGGCTTGGATGCAGGGCCGGCAAAGTTGTCGCGTGGGCGCAGGGGTGTGGACGGGCCGGCGTGCAGAGCGTTCTTGGCTGGAGGCTTCTCCTGATCAGAGTGGGCGTCCGACTCGAGGTGAGGCTTGACCTTGTGGCGATAGCCTGCTGGAGGCTCGATGGCAAAGTCATCTTCATCGCTGTCGTCGTCGTCGTCATCATCGTCGTCGCCGTCTGCTGCGCGGCGGCCCCGGGTCAGAGCAGAGTAGTCGAAGCCGACGCGGTTTTGGCCGGTGGCTGCAAGATTGCCACCTCGACCTCGTCCGCGGAAGCCTCTTGCGTTGGCCGAACCGCCGCGTGGCGAGTTGTAGCCGGAAGAAGAACTGGTGCCGGGCGCGCCACCGAGGACGTTGCCGCGACCTTCGAAGGCCTGGAAGCCTCCGCCACGACCTCCACCGCCGCCACGCCCGCGTGAGCCACCTCGGCCGCGATTGAAGCCGCCTCGGCCACCGCCGCCGCCGCCACCGCCGTGTCCTCTCTTGCCCATGAGTCCGGATCCGTCGAGCTTTTGATTAGCGGGTCGAACTGAAGAGTAGGGAGAATGTCGATTCGGAGTGAATGTGTGCTTGGAGGGTCGAGCACCGGTTGTCGTATGTAGAGACCGTTGAGATAGGTGTATTGGGCTGGGGTCAGCGAGGATGAATGGTGGGATGCTAAGGCTTGCGAAGCTGTCTAGGGGATCTTGACGGGCCGGTGCGCATGTGTCCCTGTCAGCGCAACGTGCAGCCGAAGAGCCAACGCCACCGAGGAGTTGCAGCCGCCGCGCTCTCACAACGCTGAGTTGGGCAGCTGCTAAAAAGTGGAGCTCAGCAGCGTTTCGCCGTTTCGACAGCCGAAGCTCGAGTCAAGTCAGCACGCAGCAGCAGCTGTGCGGCTGAGCAGCGAAAAAAAAGTCGCCGGTCCTTTCGAAGAAAATGTTGACTAGTGTTGGATGCGGCGACTCGACATCCGACGAAATTTGACGCGTCTCTTCTATGGCAGCAGCGCGTAAAGAGTTGAGCAGCAGCAGCACTTCGGGTGGACTCTGCAGCTCTTCTTGACGCGTCGGTCGCTCAGCGCTCAGCGCTCAGCAAAAAGTGTTGGTCTGTGACAGAGTCGCGGGCAGGGCTGGCATGGCTTCTCTGGCTGGAGAGGTGTTGGTGGGGCTGCTCCGTCTGTGCGTCCCGCCTGATCTGCATCTGCATCTGCACCCTCATCAACCCTTTTTGTCTTCCCGCCTCCACCACAACGCCGAGTGCACCCTCGCACGCTTTGACCATGTCGCTCTACACCCCTTCCTCCAAGGCCGCCAAACGCAGGGCGGCCAACCTGGGCGCATCCACCTCGGCTAACAACCACCTCGCCACTCCCACCTCCTCTTCTCGCAATGCGCAGCACCACCACTTGGACGCCGCGCTCACCGACGAGCAGCGACAGGAGATCAAGGAGGCCTTTGAACTCTTCGACACCGACAAGGACGGTGCCATCGACTACCACGAACTCAAGGTCGCCATGCGCGCACTCGGCTTCGACCTCAAGAAGGCAGAGGTGCTCAAGCTCCTCCGCGACCACGACAAGACCAACTCCGGCCTGCTCGAATGGGACGACTTTAACAAGATCAGTGCGTTGCCTCAATCCTCAGACGCCATCCCCATGCTTGACGGCATGACTGACGCCCTTCTTCCCTCATCTTCTGCCTTCTCTCAGTGAGCGACAAGATCGCGGCACGCGATCCCATGGACGAGATTCGCAAGGCGTTTGCGCTCTTTGACGACGACGGCACCGGCAAGATCTCGCTGCGCAACCTCAAACGCGTCGCAAAGGAACTCGGCGAATCGCTCGACGACGACGAACTCCAGGCCATGATCGACGAATTCGACCTCGACCAGGACGGCGAGATCAGCCAGGACGAATTCATCCAGATCATGATGGACGACTCCTAGCGTCCTCATCGCCGTTCGCCGCTCGCCGCTCTGCCTCATGCAAGACTGTATTTGTACCCGCCCCTCGCACACTCCTCGGCGCTCAATCGTACCGCGCATTCATGCATTTCATCGCACCCTCGTAGCTTAAGCGCCATATTGCTGATCAGCAAACTAGCCAAACTGGCTGCTGTCCGGCAGCGCATCGGACAGCTCCGAGTCGTAGACGATCTCTTCGTCATCGTTCACCACAAACGAGTCCTCCGAGTATCTGTCGGATGAATCCATGGGTCCGCGGTGGCTGGGTCTTGCTTCCGACGACGGCACATGCTGTCTTCTCGTGCGTTGGGGTGTGACGGGCTCGCCGAACCTGCCTCCGAGCCCGGGGAACGGTCCGTGGCGTAGACGCTCGAACTCGGGTGGTGCGTGCTGCGACAGCATCGACTGCATGTACACGCTCTGCTGGTGGTAGCCGCGCGGCGCCTGCGTAGGCTCAAAATCGCCCACCGCCTCCCGGTCCGAATCGTCCTCGTCCGACGTGCCCAGCCCCGAATCATGCTCGTCCCGCTCCCCGTGCTCCTCCTCGTCCGTAGACCGCTCGGCTTCGTACTGAAATAGCGCACGCGACCGCGGTGAATTCATGATGTTGCGCTTTTTCCGCCTCTCCCCCTTGACCTTCTTACCTTCTGCACCCTGCTCCTGGCCTCGCCTCGTGTCGCGCGACTGACGTTTGGCTCGCGACGACCCATCGTGCTTCTTGCTGCTGTCGTCGTCGTCGTCGCCGTCGACCATGCCGCGCACAAAGCGGGTTTTGCCCTTGCGCGCCGTCGGACTCGTATCGGCTCCTTCCGCCACGGGGCTTTCCTGCGCGTGCGTCGCCTTCTGCAGCCGTCCGGCGCGCCGCACGGGCGCCTTGATGGGCGAAGACAGCGTGGTGTCAGGCTCCGCTTCTCGCTCCTCGCTTTTCTTCGAAGAGACGACGGACTGCTCGCCGTCGGGCGACTCGAGGATCACCCGCTTGCCCCGGCCTGCACCGGCGCGTCGAGGGGCCGAGTCGGGAGGTCCCATGGAGCTCTTGCTTGGCGACTCGTGCCTCTTGGCCGGCGTCGGCTGCCCGTTGCTTTCCGGGTCTGCCTTCTTGCGCTTGCGTGAACCGCTCGCCGGGTTCGCGCCCTGACTCTGCTCTTGCGCTTCATCTTCGGCCATTAAGGCGGCCATGGTCGGGTCGGTCTTGAGACGAGTCACCTTCGTCGGTGCCGGGCTCGGTACCGCCGGCACCTTGGCGGCTCGCACTTTCGCAGCCGCCTCGGCCTCGACACGTGCAAGCACGTTTTCCATCGACATGTCCAACGCCAGATCGTCTCCACCAAACTCGTCGTCGTCGTCCGAGATCACTGTCGTCGCGATGCCTCTGCTCCTCGGCGAGATGACGTTGCGCTTGGTCGAGGCTGAGGGTTGGTCACCAGTCAAGTCGAGCGCGTCGCTGGACTTGCGAAGCGCAAGCGTGCCCGTGCTCGTGGCGCTGCGTCCGGAGCTTCGTCGCAAACCCACCCCGAGCTTCCTTCCGGCGGCCAACGGCCGCGACGATGACGACGTCGACAAGCTGGACGGCAGCGGCGGCGTTTCGATCCCGTCTGGAAGCGGCGGCGTGTCCGGGTGGGATTCAGAATTCGACGTCACCCGCGACGAGCGCGATAGCACGCGCGGCGCCATCTCCGGCGAGCTCGGCGGAGAGAAGGCTTTCGCCATGGCAGCTCGGCGCCTTTCCTTGGCCGGACGAATGTCGAGGTCGAGCGAGGCATCTCGTTTGGCGAACTCGGCCTCCATCTGCTCATCTGTCATAGTGAGCAGTCGCTGCATCCTCTGGCTGTGCGTCTCGTTGATGGGGGGCACATCGGCGTCGCTGCGACCCGACTCGTCAATGTCGCTGCTGCGTTGCTTGCGTTTGGCGAGCGTCGAGGCTTTGCGGAATCCAGCGATCAGGTCGCCGCCCTCGGGCATGTTGCGCTTCGGATCCTTTTTGGGCTTGGGCTCCTTTTTGGCGCGCGCAGGTTTGGCATTCGCCTTGGCGCCGGACGACACCATCGAGGGATCGAACTCGGGCTGCTCCACCTCCTTGAGGATGGGGCGCGGCGCGATGTGGTCGGGCACCATGCGATCGACGTCGTCGAACAGCTCGACATAGAGACGCGAGTCGACCTCCTTCTGCACCGCCTTGTAGTTGTCCTTGGAGTGCTGCCAGTTGTGCTGCTCGCGACCTTCCGAGACGAGCACGACGATCTTGCCCTCGCGCTTGCGTCCGGTTCGGCCGATGCGCTGGAGCATGCGGATCGAGTCTTTGACGGCCTCGTAGCACGCCGTGAGGTCGACCGAGCCAATGTCGAGTCCCTCCTCGCCGATCGAGGTGGCGACGAGCACGTTGTACTTGCCCGCTTTGAAATCGTTGATGACGCGTTCTTGATCCTTTTGCGACATTCCCTTCTTGCCGTTCTTGGCCTTGCTCTGGCCGACGAATTCGGTGGCCTTGAATCCGGAATCGTTCAGGAAGCTGACGATCTCGTCGCAGCACTCGCGGTAGGAGCAAAAGACCATGACGCGTGTATCGGCCTGGGACAAGTCGTTGAGCTGCGACAGGTCGGAAGACTTGGGCGTGCATCCATACACGTTGTGGCCGCTCTCGGTGTACGCCTCTGCGTTGTGCATGCGCTCTTCCTGGCACCGCTTAAAGTGCTCGCCTAGCACCTCGACGAGCTTGAGCATCTTTGGGTGCAGGATGCGTCCCTTGGTGTCCTGCATGATCTCGAGCTCGCGCATGATCTCGCTGAAGGTGCTGTTGGTATTGGCGTAGGTCTGCTGCTTGGAGGTCGACGTCTTCTTGCCCTTGGAGTTGTAGCCGAGCGAGCGTTCCTTGAGGCGGTTGTAGAACATGGTGGGCGACTGCTCCATGAGGTACTGCATCGAGAGCGCCATCTGTGCCAGCTCGGAGATGTTGGCGCGGAGGAAGGGCTTGCTTTTCAGGATGCCGGTACGGCTCTGGTCCCTGGAAATCGCATTGACTGCGAAGGGATGGAGGAAGACGGGGTCCTGATTGCGTAAGAGACCAGCCTTGAGTAGAGGATCCATCTGGGTCTGCATGAGCTTGGCCCAGTTGTCCTTGACCTTGTTGAGATCCTTGCCCAGTGGCACGTTGACAATCTCTTCGCGCTTGCGGAACATGTAGCGCTGTACGTCGATGGCCTCTTCGGTGCGAATTTCGATCTGGTTGATGTGGAGCTGATCGACGACCTCCTGGACGCTGTCCGAGTCTTTGCCCGGGGTTGCCGAGAGGGCGAGCACGCGAAAGTGCGGGTTGACCTCCATGATCTGACCGATGACGTTTCCATAGGCGTAGCGACCGCGTGCGCGGTGGGCCTCGTCTACGACGACGCACACAATGTCGCGCCGATCGAATCGGTTGTACTGGATGTCGTTGTCGATCGTCTGAGGCGTCATGTAGAAGATTCGCTTTGTGCGCCAGTAGTCAGCGCGGCGCTCGGAGTTGGTGTTGCCGGTGAGGTCGATGGCGCAGTCCCAGGGCAAGCCACAGATGCGATGGCAAGCGGTCTTTTGCTGGTCCACGAGCGGCTTTGTTGGAGCGAGGAAGACGATCTTGCCGTCGGGGAACCAGCGAAAAAAGTTGAGGATGACGACGGCGGCGATGAAGGTCTTGCCGAGACCGGTAGGGAGAGCGACGAGGACGTTGTTGAAGAGCGCCTTTTGCACGATGTTGTACTGGTAGTCGCGCCTCTCCATGTTGGTTGGATAGATCCAGGTCTTTGCAGCCTCGAGATCGATCTTGCACTTTTGGGGTTGTGGTGGCGGGACGTCGCGCGGTGGCGGAGGTGGCGGGAGCACGTTTTCGTACTTGCTGTGCACATCCCAGCTGCGCTTCTGCTTGCCCTTGCCGGACGGGGAGTCGTCTTCGTCGGATGCGTCAAGATCGATAGCAGCGTTGTCGCGATTCCTTGCATTTTCACGATGCAGGTAGGCCTCTCTGTCCCATGTCTTGGTGCCTACCTTTTGTTGCCAGGGCGGACGAGCAGACGAGGAAGCTTCCTTTGCCTCGAGGGTGTCGGAGCGGGTTCCGTCGACATTGGCCTGCGTTGCAGACTGAGAGGACAGGGTGATGTGGCCTGGGCTGGACGAGACGACCTTGGCAGCGCGTGGTTGCGTGGGTGCGGCGGGCTTGCCAAATAAGGTCATCTGACGATGAGCTCCAGACGAGGCGGACTGAGAGAGGCCCGTTGAGCTCGCGGACGCCACGCGCTGCAACGGTTTTGCGGACGTTGACGCGGTTGCATTCGATGCGCCGACGTAGGACGACGATGGCTGGATGCGAGCCGTAGCCTTTCCTTGCGCAATCGGCAGGTTTGCGTCGGACGCAGAAGTGGTTGTGAATGTAGGGTTGCCGACCTGGTTGATGAGCTTGTTCTCGATTTGATCGAGCTGCTGAAGTGCGGAGTCGTCAAAGTCGTCGATACCAAAGTCGTCGAACTCGTCGATGTCATCGACGTCGTCCGAGGGCTTCGCCATGATGACGCCTCGGAGATGCTTGGGATGCTGCGAGGCGTCGGTGAGTGTTGATCAAGTCTGAAAGGCAGGCAAGGATGTAGGTAGACGAGCTAGGTGCCGGTTGTGGTTGAGAAGATGGTAGCGTTGGAAGAAGCGGGGCGGGGCATGTCCGTTGAGCGCGCAGCGAGATAAGGCTGGTGCGGAAAGTCGAGTGCGGGAAGTCGAGTGCGGGTGTGAGTGCGGAAGTTGGGTGCGGATGAGAGTTGGAGGGAGGGTGGGGCTGAGTTCAGTCGTGAGCAAACGCAGAAGGTGCCGCTCGAGACCGGCGAGAGTGGAGCTGTTGTGCGGGAACGCAGTCGCAGCCGCACCTTCCCATCCGCGTTCTGCGCTCGCCCTCCTCCTGTTCCGTCTGTGCTCGCGGGCTTAGAAGCGCCTGTTCCGATGATGGACGGTGCGGAAGAGCCGGTCAGGGCTGCAGACAATCACAGTCGGAAAGCTACCGAGCCGTTCTCCATCAGCGACATGCACTCGCCACTGCCGCTTCCAATCCAACTCAGCCGCTTTCTTCTGTTCTGCTGCTCTGCTCAGCGTGGCGGAGGTGCATTATTGAAAGCAAAACCAACACCTCCACGCTCCCTTCCACCCACCCAACGCGCCGAACGTCGCGTAAAATGCTCCGGATTTTTTTGGAGTCGCGCGGAGGTGGGAATATCGGCGATTCTAAATGCTGATCGGCGATAACCACTCGTTCGGGTGGAAGAAAAAGTGGAGTGTTGGAAGCCGGAAAGCAGCGGTGAAGCTTGACAAATCTGGCCGACTTGCGGCGGCACTCGAGCTGGTTGGCTCGTCCGCTTTATGCTCCTCCTCAGGCCGCCATCACTCGACCTCAGCATTCCCTGTACGCTGCTTCTTACTCTACTGCGCTAGGTCCCGACATCAGGAAGGAAGCGTCACACTCACACATCGACTTGGGCATGGCCTCTACCAGCGTCTTCCGCGCCGTCGCGGTCGGCATGCGCACAACAGCAGCAGGTCTGCCGTGTGCCAGTTCCGCACTACCTCGCAGTGCGGTCGCCCACAGCTTCCCATCACACCATACTCGTGGCTTCGCTTCAACACCCACACGCCGCGCCAACGCTCCGTCCTCACTGCCTTCCACGTCTCAAGCAGCTCCACCAGCAGCAGCATCGCCATCAGCCGAAGTACACTCAGGTGCCACCGCTGCAGAATCTGTAGCTGACCCTAACGAATTCCAGGGCGGCTTCGAGTTCCTGCAACCATGGGTGCCCACCATCCACAATCTTGCCGATACACTTCACCTCTCTGGGCCACATGCCCACGCGCTCTCGATCTTTGTCCTTGCATTTGCGGTCCGAACCGCGGTCACCCTGCCCGTCACTTTGTGGCAGAGGAGCAAGACACGCAAGCTCACCGAAAAGGTGCTGCCAGAGTGGGAGATCATGAAGGAGCGCATCCCACAAGTCGTCCGCGCACGCTGCCGAAGAGCAGGCATGTCGTACGAGCAGTTCAACGTCGAAGCCCAAAAGGAGCTCAAAGCGGAACTCGCCAAGCTGCTTCGCAAGCACAATGCCTCTCCGCTTCCGGCGTTCATCGGCCCGGCCACCGTCAGCATCCCCGTCTTCCTGCTCATGACGGCGCTCCTGCGTCAGTCGGCGCTGGATCCATCCACACCCTTCGCATCCGAGGTGCTGCCGTGGTGGTCGCCCACGCCCGAGCTCGCCGCGCAGTTCAAGGCCAGCACCGCCATCCTTGCCGATCGCGGCTTCGACGAGGCGGCCATCGCAAAGCTCAAGGGCACCATGGGCGGACCCACGCTCGCCGACAAGGACGCCACCATGCTCGGTCCCGTGTCGTTTGGCATGCTCACCCTCGCCAACACAGAGCTCAATAGCTGGAGTAGACGCACCATCGCCAAGATCCGTGCGGCCACCTCCGGCAGCGATACAGATGCGGCTACAAAAACGGCCGAAAAGCTGCTGGCCCCAGGATCCCAATCGCAGCCGGCAAAGCAAGAGGAGGAGGAGCCGCGACGAGTGCGCATCATCACAAACGCCCTGCGTGTGCTGGCTATCGCTTTCATCCCCATTGCCTGCCAGGCTCCCGGTGTGCTGGTCGTCTATTGGCTCTCGTCGGGTATCTATACGCTGCTTCAGAACTCGCTGCTCGCTGTCCTAGACCGCCGCTCCGAACTCGTCAAGACCGCCCGCAAACGCCAGCTCCTCCAACAGCAACAGAGCCGGTAGACCCAGCATTTTCGAAACCTTCACTGCATTATGCCACCCCTGCCCTGCTTTCGTTCCAGTGACTGTGAAAGTCGTGATTGCTGAGATATGGTACAAGGAAAGATGCAGGTGGACGTGTCTACTTCTCGCCGGGCCTCCTGACGCCGCGCACGCGGATGCGCTCCGCCGTCTGCACTCTTGGGCCCCATCTACAATCAATCAGAGCAGGATCGTTAGACGAGCGGGAAGAAGCGATCGTGTCAGCAAGTGTGTGCATGGAAGCTGGACCAGCAAAGAGCGTGTACATACCCTCGGACCTTCTTCTTTGGCTTGGCGTCGGTGATGAAGAGTGCCGGATCAGCACCCTGGCGGAACTTCTCGCGTGCCCACAGGAAGAACTTTCGGTCCTTGGTGGTGACGCCCGCCTCCTTGAGCTCGGTGGTGCGCACGGTGAAGATGTTGGACCACTTGTCGCCGATCGCTCCCGTCAGCGATGAGTTCGCCGCCAAGTCTCGGCGAGTGCGTGAGATCGCCGTCAAGAACTTTTCTGCATTTTCAATGTCGCCTGCAGATATCAATTGGGCGTGCGCCCGATCAGCAAGCTGCAACCGACCATGTTCAGAGACGCTAGTGAAGGCTTACCTTTTGGCTTGGGGATCGACTTGACCGGTGCTGCCACGGCTGCTGTTGTGGCGAACGTCCTCGAGCTCGAAGCCCTCACGGACGCCATCACTGTGTTCGGTAGTCGTCCGATCATTGTGGCACTCTCTTTACGACGCTGGGAGGGTGTCGAGATGGTGTGGATATCAAAGTGAGAGCACTGGCACAAGGCTTGGGCGAGCAAAATGTGGAATCCCGGAACTCGCTCTCCGCCGCTTTTCTTCCCGACTGGCGCTTCTTCAGTCACGTGGCGCAGGAGCCTGATTTGTAAGATCGAAGGAATTGTCAAATCAGATCCCGCGCAAATCGACATGTCCTGCCTCACGCATTGCTGCCAACTATGGTCAGCACACTCCGAGCTCATTGTCCAATGCGAACCACCACAAACGCTGCGTAGGATCGGCCAGAACAATAAAGGTATAAGAGGAAACAAAAGCAATTAAAAATGCAACTAGGAAAACACAAGGGGAGCTAGGATCTAAGCTGCAAGATGCCTCCCGTCACCAGCAACGAGTCGCGGGCGAGCACCGAGGATCACATAGCTCTCCGGAGGAGGGACTGAAACGAACGCAGTAAGGCTACCAAGAGTCCCAATACAGAGAAGGCGAGCGCTGACTCAAAGACGGTCGGTGGAACTCTTGTGGTGACGCGCGTGCAGGCCGCTGCGTCGGAGCACGTCGTCGTGGCCGAGCTGCGAAGCTACGTGGTCGAGGTTGCGCTCGAGCAGCGAGCTGTTGCGACCCTCGAGCATCTCGTCGCGCTTGCCTCCGGGCAGGTTGGCCTTGGCCGCGACGGGCTGCGTGCCAATCCTGCCATTGCCGACCATGACCATCTTGCCCTGGCTGGGCACGCCGTTGACCACCACAAAGGCGAGCGCAGGGCCGGGGGCGAACAGGTTCGGGTTGGGCGGCAGCTGGGCAACGTTGAGCTTGCTGCCCTGGCGAGTGGTCTCGAGCTCGATCATGCGTTGACCCATGTTCATGCCGTGCGTGGAGAATCCGGTGCGCACAAGCACCACCTTGGCCTTCTGCGCATCCGCCGCCGAGGGCAGCGTCATGGAGAAGCCGTTGCCGCCGTACGAGAAGGTGCGAGGCAAGCCACCGTTGGAGGGACGCGGGGCATCGTAGAACTCGGGGTACCAGCGCTCGACGCGGTACTCGGTCTTCCACTTGGTGTTGGTGTTGTAGTCCGCGTTCGGGTTCGAGCCGGCGACGAGGATCGACGAGTCCGGAAGCAGCGTAGCCGACGAGTGGTAAAGACGGCCGATGTTGGAGCTTCCAACGCGCTTCCAGCGGTTGCCCTTGCTCGCCTTGGGATCGTACACAAGCGGCTGGTGCGAGGGGTTGTCGCCGTACGACTCACCCACAGGGCGACCAGGAGCGTTGGGGTTGGTGTTGTAGCCAGCGACACCGGTGGTGACACCGTTGCCGAACCACAGCTTGCCATCGGGAAGCTGGATGAATTGACCCATGGATCTGCCCTGCGGCAGGTCATCGACGGCCTCCCAAGAGGCACCGCCAGCCATAGGGCTGATCTGCTCACACGATGTCGATGCTGGCAGCTGAGAAACGGCGATGGTAGGGCCACCCTCGTTGCCCCAGTTGGATGTCTTTCCGAGGCTCATGCCACCGCAGAAGAGCACGGTCTCCTTGTAGCCGTTCTCGGCGCTGAGCGGAAGCAGAGCCGATCCTCCCGAGGCAGGGTAGACACGAGGCGCACCGGGGATGGTGGGAAGCGCACGCTCGCTCTTCTTCTTGTAGTCCCACAGGATGGCTTCGCGACCCGCCTGGATGAAGACCTCGCCCGACGACATGAGGTAGGCGATCGGGTAGAGCGACAGCGGAACGGTGCGCTGGAGGATGGGCAGGTTGCGGCTGCCTCCGTCTCCCTTGATCGGGTAGAACTCGTAGGTGGGGTTGTTGGAGCCCTGGCTGGGCACGAAGCCTCCGTCGCGCATGCCTCCAAGGATGATGTTGTGGCCGTCGGCAAGCGGCTCGACGGTCGGGTACCACCTTTCCGTGTTGAGCTGGTTGCTGGCTTGGTCGTCCCACTGGCACTGCTGGTTGTCGCAGGGCGAAAGGAATCGAAGCGCGCGTCCGCCGTTGTACGCTCCGTAGC